ATCCATCCATCCATCCATCCATCCATCCATCCATCCATCCATCCATCCATCCATCCATCCATCCATCCATCCATCCATCCATCCATCTTTATCCCTTGATCTGTGTCATTTTGTCCCTTTTGTTGCTGGACCTGCTACGCTTACGTTGATCCAGCGGGTTTATTGATCCATCCGTCTATGTTCTGGTTCCAGTGACCCTTATCGCTTTCGTGTTCAACCCCGCCACTACACGCTCCCCTCGTGATCCGGTAGGCATCTAACGTCGACGACACGCATCCACACGCATCCCACACAGGTTCATTGTTCCCGTCCCTCACGTGATTGGTATTTTGACCCCGTTGGCTTCCACTCATTGAACCCTTGTGCACTTGTGCTTGCCACCTAAGGCATTCTGACCGATGACCTTGACTGAACTATACGCACCCGCAGTCGTTTATTTGAACACTGACAGCTTTTGCTCCACAGGAGCAGGTGAAAGAGTCAATACAGAAACAGGCAGCAGAATCGGACACTTTCCTTCAACCGCCACCACCAACGGGCTAGATATGAATCGAGTCTGAAGCTAAGCCGTGTAGAACGTTTTGTTGATGGCATTTGATAACCTTCTATGCACAATCTCTTCCAAGTAGTCGCCTTTAGGTGGTAAAGAAATGCACACCGAATTCTTCTCAACAAATGCCTTCTTGGTAAACTCCTCCTGTAGTAGCACCACAGATTTCACCAAGCGCTCCGGGTGCAATTCAAGTTCAAGGAGGAAATCTATCGCCAGAAGGACGGTGCGACAATAGGGTCTCCGCCAGGGACCTTGCTTGCCGATGTTTTCGTGTCTGAATTGAAAAACGGTCCACTTAAAACACGTATCGACAGGTATATGGGTTGAGAAACAATTTGTGAAAGCACTCAAGCTTCCACGACCGGATTGCTGACAAGTGACTTGTTATGCAACATCGGAGCAAATGATAATTGGGGACCAATTATGAAACAAACTGTTGAATACGTTTATTAGTTCCCCACTTTAACCCTGTACATCTTTCTCTGTTACTAATCATATTTATTATGCCGTAATTGCATGATTAAGACACACCGAAAAGTGCTTGTTTGCAAATTTGTGTTATCACTATGTGCTCTGTGGGACTGTTTAAACATATATTGTACTCTTTTATTCATTCCGTAGGACAAAGAATATTGGAAAAACTGAAGCAAACCTTTCCCGAGATCAATTTCAAAAGAAAAGACGATATCGCCATACCGCACGGTTTATGTCCAGGAATATTTCGCTACATCTCTACTCGGTGCATACTGCAGAAAACGCATAGGGGTTTAACAGGACTGAACAGATTCCAAATTGGGGCCAACGTTAGATCACGTCATCGAGGTCAAGTTCGCAGCACAAGAACGATAGTAGCAACTACAAGACCACATCCTCAGCCATTGCTTAACATCTTCGGATGACACAACACTAGATCGACCGAAACACGGCAATTCAGCATTTCTACAAGCCACGAGTAGCAAGATTCCTATGTTTTGCAGAAGTTCTTGCTATCAACCGATGAAAGCCACCGCTGTTTCAACAAACGGAGCTTTATGCTAATTTGCCCCTGGTGACATGGTCCACTTAACCCTACTCTTTTCATGTTTGTCTATTTAAATGTGCTTTACTTTTCTATGTCACCATGCTAAAATCCTATATAAACATTATGTTTTCTGCAGTATGCACTATGTACAGATGCAGCGAAATCGTTCTGGACAGTATTTCTTCATGGTCTTTTCTTTTGAAACGGATATTGACCCTGCAAGCAGACGAGTCTAAAAGCGCCATCGGGCTTGGTGAAATAGTTAAGTGGACAAGTCCATCAAGAGGTCCGTTATTTCGCTCCTCGTTATGTTAAACCCGATTGTTTCATTTCGCTCCTGCTGCTTTGGTTTCCACCGTCCATCTAGGGGAACTAGATCCCGTGTCTTCTGTTTCAGTTCGCACAACTATTACCAGCGCGATTTCGTGTGGTGGTTCTGGTTGCTGTCTTTTGACCGCCTATTTGAATAAAGGAACCGAGGGAGGGTTGGAATGTTGAAAGCAGTTTCAAGGTGCAAATAAAGAAGTCACGAAGACAAATGTAACGAGGATATCTAGCGGATGCACAGGTTCCATTGCTATATCAACCTTATCAGTTAGTATTTCTAACGAATGTTTACGCTGATCCCGAGGTCCCATTCCAGGAGGCATAACTCGATCTATATGAGAAAGTCTCCTTTTTGGCTTTTCAAACCACGTCTGGTCTAAGTTTGACCACTCTTGACTTTTTTCTTACCACTATCTACCTCAGCAGACGTCGCTCACCGTGTTAATCTAATATATTCAACCATTGACTGGACTGGTATCAAGGTGGCCAACTGAGAATTCAAACGCAGACTACATCTTGAAGCCCCTTATTCAGGTTTTTCATTCTTCCATGCGAGGTCATCGGGAGAGCAGCCATGGTTGGGGACTAATAACAGATAAGTGCACCTCGTCACAGCTGGCGTCAAGGGTCACATTATGATCCACTTGTTGATTACTTGTAGATCACTCTGGATAATCGTATCTAAGGAATATCTGACAACCTTCAAGTGTTCAACAATAAAGCAGCTTGAGCATGGGTTTCCCTAGTTTATACAATTAGATTGCTCCATCGTTTCATATACGGAGAGTGAGCGATGTTCCCAATGCTGGTTCTTGTAGGACAGTACTAAGATATCGGGCCAGACCGGATTTCGCTTCTTGAATCCGGACGTCAAATGACCGGCAGTTTCAAACAAATATGTAGCCAATGCATTATCTTTTTATATAAGTCTATTTCGATAAGTTTTCGTGGCAGTAACCAACTACCTTCCTTCTAGTCTAAATGACAACTCATCAAGGAAAATTGGCAGCATTGGCAAACTCAGATATCTTTTTGAACAACCGTACCGCTTCTCTAATAGGATACTGCTGATAGTTTCTTATCTTTTCTCTTAGTTTCTTTTTCAAGTAACGTGAGTGAGGTCAGTATCAGACCCCCCCCCACCTCATCCGTGATTTTATACTGTTGACCGCCAGTCGAATAAGCTTTCGAAGAAAACCACCGAACCAGGCGGAGATTGATCGTGGTCGATCGGGTACGGGAGCAACAAGTAATATCGCTGTCAGGTAACCTCGAGATGAAGCGATAAACCAATAACTACGCTCAGATGTAACTGATGACATGAAACGTTGCATAAGCTTGTTCAGTCTATGACCTTAGAAAGAGTGAAAAAAGTAATTTAT